AAAAAAAAAAAAAAAAAAACCCAGTATGGTTTATGGTGAGTGCATTTTTGTTCTCCTAGGGCCCTGGGCCATGCTGTGTCAGTTTCACCTTGGGGGTTTGGGAGTCTGGAGACTGAGTAGTTAACGGTAATCACTGGGGCACTCCATGCTGATGAGACTGACCCCCGATAAAAATCTCTGGATGTCAAGGCTCAGGTGAGTTTCCCTGGTTGGGAAACCTTCATACATGTTGTCACACATCATTGCTGGTAGGATTATGTACTGTCTGTTCTACTCCACTGGGAGAGGACAACAGGCTTGCATCCTGTCTCTCCTGGACTCTATCCTATGTGTCTTTCTCCTCTGCTGATTTTAATCTGTATTCTTGCACTGTAATATACCATAACCATGAGTATAACAGCTTTTCTGAGTTCTGTGAGTCCGAATGAATCACAAACCTAAGGGTGCTCTTGAGACTCCTGACCCAGAAGGAAGTTACTTGTACAAAGAAGAATCTGACCTTAGAGCCTGTGATCTCCCACTCTACCCTAATGCTATAATGCCAGCAAAGCCAAGCAAACCAGATGTTGCTGATTTCTCCAGTAAGAAATTTATTTTTTAATTTTTAAAAATGAAATTAAATTTCATTATTTTTTAAATTGAGGCATAATTGACATTATATTAGTTTTAGCTGTGTAACATAATGAGTTGATATTTGTGTATATTGCAAAACGATCACTACAGTCTAACATCTGTCACCATATATAGAAACTTTTCTTCTTGTGATGACAGCTTTTAAGATTTACTCTCTTAGCAGCTTTCAAAGATGCAATACAATACTAACTCTGGTCACCATGCTATACATTACATCTCCACGATTTATTTGTTTTATAACAGAAAGTTTATATCTTCTGATCTACTAGAGAAAGCTTTCAGCATTTCACCATTGAATATTGTGTTAACTGTAGGCTTACATTTCAGGTCTTACATTCAAGTCTTTAATCCATTTTTTGAGTAAAATTTTGTGTATGGTATAAGAGAGTGGTCCAGCTTCATTCTTTGGCATGTAACCATCCAGTTTCCACAACGCTGTTTATTGAAGAGACTGTCTCTTCCCCACTGTATATTCTTTGCTTCCTTGTCATAAATTGACCAAATATGTGTGGGTTTGATATTTTGTTTTATACAAGTACTAGGAACCAGCTGGAGGGGAGGAGCAAAACAGACTTATCTAGATGCTAACTCTAATCAAACTGTGATGGAAGAGCTACTCCAAGAGAGTCGTACAGCCTTGTAAATTATGTCCTTTTTTTTTTTTTTTTTTTTTTAGTTCATTATTTTTGAAAAAGAGAGCGGGTGCAGGGGAGGGGCAGAGAGAGAGAGGGGGAGGGATCCACACTGTCAGTGTCGAGCTTAAAGCTCAAGCCCCAGGTCGGGCTCTGTGTTGTTAGCGGAGTTGGGGATTCTCTCCCTCTCTGATCCTCCCCTACTCTCTCTTTTCTCTCTCTCTCTCTCTCTCAAAATAAATAAATAAACATTTAAAAAAAGAAATTTTTTTATTAAAAATTGTTTTTAATGTTTTATTTATTTTCGAAAGAGAGAGAGGGAAAGAGTACTAGCAGGGGTAGGGCAGAGGGAGAGGGAGATACAGAATCCTAAGCAGGCTCCAGGCTCCGAGCTGCCAGCACAGAGCCTGATGCGGGGCCTGAACTCATAAACTGTGAGACTATGACCTGAGCCGAAGTCAGACACCCACTGGAGCCACTCAGGCGCCCCAGAAATTAATTTATTTTTTAAAGTAAGATGATAAGCTATAGAAAATTTGGGAAGAAAACCCAACTCCCAATATGATTAGTATTAAAATAGTGGTTGTATTTCCTTCTAGTCTTTTTATAAGCATCTTTTCCTTAAATCTTACCTATATTAAAATTTTTATCTTATGCCCTTTTCATTTATTATATTGTAAGCATTTCCTCATGCTGCTGTCTCACCTTCAGGGCCCCCATCTTTTACAGTGGAATGAAGTTCCATTAAGTGAGTGGATTAGAGTTGACCTAACTAGCTCCTACTGCCTGATACTCAGCCTTCTTCCTGTAGTGTTATGCATGGTTTGAAGAGTATGTTGACGCAGTACAGCTGGTGAGAGGCTGGAGCCTTCCCTCGCCATTGCTGGCTGGCTGTTTGGCACACTTTCTGCTTTGGTCAGAAGCTCTGTTGGCCAACTTGCCTGAAGAGCACATGCATTTTCTAAGTTTATTTTTGGTTTTATTAACTACTAGATCTATGAGGCAGCACAATACTCATGTTTTAAAATTTAGGGACAACTTTTTGTTTATGTTCGAGTAAAACCAGATGGACTTTTCCATTATTTTTCTTTCAAAAAGGCAAGGAATTTGTTCCTCTGGAAGAGTGGTTGGGAAAACATGGAAAAATTAGGCATGGTCCATAAAGGCCAGGACTGGGATCAGGGGAATGAAAACAAAAATGAACTTCGAGTTTTGACAGTTCCTTCCATTTTCTTTCCTAAATCTGTGTTTTTTAACACCGGATGGCACATCAGAATCGCATGAGGAAGCTTTTATATAAAAACATTGATCCCTAAGCCCTATCCCCACTGCTTCTGATCTAACTAAATCTATGCTGGTGCCCAGGCACATGCAGCTAGGGTCAGGATCCACTGTCCCAAAGGCAAGGGGAAAATAACATGGAAGAATAGCCAGCCTCACAGCCAGCAAAAAATTTTAAGATAAAATGACAAATATTTATGACTATACGTGAGCATCAAAAATCATAGAATATGTTGAGCAAAAGAAGTTGGACACAAAAGATTACATGTGGTAAGAATCCCATCATTTTGGTGCCCTTACATGGGAGCTTTGAGTCTTTTCATCTGGACTCTGAGCCTTGGTGCAAACTTGATGAGTACCTTTTCTTTTCTTCCTTTACTCTCATTTCAGGGGCTTTTCAAGGAATGTGGTCGAATTGGAACACTTTCATGTCGATTGCTTAGGTTGCAATCCTCTAGCTGTGGCTACTCTACGGGGAGGAAAAAGCCTGCCTTTTGGCTGAAAGTTAGTACCCTGGCGGGAATGGTAGTAAGACCCAGAAGCTTGATGCCCTCTCTTTATTCCTGTCCTTATACAAAGTTGTCTGTCTTGGGCACGGGACAGCCACCTAAGTCACCAGGACGGCCACGGATCTTAAGACTCCAGTGTGAGGTTTCCTCCTCATTGGTCTAATGTAATTCCCCTCCAAATCTCTGGTGTAGCCGCCTCTGGCCAGGAGACCCCTACTAGGAGCCAGCTGAAACCAGTACTCAATTGAATTAAAACCCAACTGGGGACCATTTCCCAGGGAAGCTGGCTGTAAAGCCTATATGTGTTGGAATGTCGCTTAGATCATGATAGATTTCTATCTTTACTGTTTTCTGTCAACGTCTTCTACTAACTGCTACTTACATTACAAAATTGGCTAATTGCCCCTTGTAAAACTTTTCCAGTATTTTCCTTGGGTTAAAAATGGCAGTTTCTTCTCAGCCTTTTTGACAAGGCAAACTCAGTCCATAAGTCAGCACCCATCTGTAGTCTAGGATGCAATGGGGAAGCCAGGGGAGGGAGGGAGGGACCCTAGCATCCTTCCTTCAGGGGCCCTTAGTTGGCTGGTCAGTCAGTGATCATAGCAACTTTGTTCGAGGGATGCCTCAGGTCACTTTAACACCAGGAACCTCTGACACATCCTGCGTGTGGGACGCCAAATGGGAGTTGGGAGTCGGGGGGGGGGGG